GTTGGTTTATTTTGCTTACCGGCATAGCAGCCTCTATGGTAATGCTGAAATCTAAATAATTTGAACACAATTACATGGCTTCACCTAAATATATCTTCAACGCAATTGTATACCTTCAACTACAGATAAAATATATTGTTCATTTTTCTTTATATATATAAATGTAATTTTACTATAATAATAGTTTTTATATGTATAAATGTAATTTTACTATAATAATATATTTTTATACTTTCATATGGCTTTGCTTTGGTTTTCCTTTCATTATTTGGCCATAGCTGGGACCCGAACATGTGCTACTTCCACGTATCCGAGTGAACCTGAGAACAATAGCAATTAAGAGGTGCTTCCACGTTCGTCCATACCTCCCTAGCAAAAGCCTTGCTGTCGGATTTATGTTATCGTTATAACAAGGACTAGATATGCGCGTGTCCCTGCCCATTCTAATAATATCGGCTTGCCAGTACCCATTTTATTGATATGTTGAACATGACATCACAGAGATAGTTAGAAAATAAATGTTCAGTTTATTAATGATGACGATAACGTTAATTTAGGTCAAGTTTAAGAAAATGGCCACAAAAGAGAGAATTCAGGTCAAAGGGGAATTAGAGAAAATTAAGACTAATTTCTTGGCGAAGGCCATCTTCATTTTTAATCATATAATTATTAGATTTTATTGAAATTATTCCGTAATAAATAGAATTATTTCTAAGGTTTTGTTTTAACTTTGCAGAAATTTTCTGCAGTCAATTAAATATATATGCATAGACATCAAAACATATACAAGCCGAGATATGCATCCACTCGGAGTTATATTTACGAATTTTAAAGGAATATATTTTCTAATAAATATTTTTCATTAACATACTACAATTTTGATTTGAAAATTGACCATCTTAGTGTCTGCAAAGTGACGTTTACCGAACCAATATCTATATAATGCTTCTCCTGTTTCTATCTTCTCTCTCACATACAATCTTTCATCAACACTCTTACACACGAAAAGTACAGCCAGACATATTTAATTAACTTCATGCCTAAAACCCAGAGATTATTACACCCATAGGCATATAATGACTGCTTATGTCAACATAAAAGTTCCAATATTGTTTCTTTTTTCTTTTATGTGCCTTGTCACTTCAGGACATGGACGATCGTGCCATGCCTCAAATTCTTATCCTTTCTAACTCTTAGCAATTTTGATATTTTTTTATTATCCCTCCGATACCCTGTTCTGCCATCCATTTAAGCAAGATCATTAGGTAGGGGAATCGACGTTCCTCTACGTCCTTAATATCCTAAATATAGCCTGTGAGTGTCTAATTTTCCAAGCTCTCTTAATTGTGTCTCCAAAATTTAATGTATTTTTCTGATTCGATGTATAAGTCCCCTTTTTTTAATTTTAATTTTCTTTTTTTACAATTTCCTGATTGCTTGCATGCTTTGTCAATATTATTCTCAGTATTTTTCTCTAGAACTAGATTCTTGACTGCAGTGATTCAAGTCTCTCCTTTGAAGAGATTGGCCAGAAATCTCCACCATATAGAAGGACTGTTATTACATAGCAGTCCATCTTTCTTTACTTTGTTTCTAGTGATATTTTACTGTTTCTTAATACTTGTTTAAATTTTAGAAGATGTTTGTTTAGCCGCAAATTAACCCCTTTATGGGTCATTTTTTCTTAAGAGCATTAATAATTTTTTGACAAACGTATTGCTGGTAATTTGTTTTGCCTTACAAAAATGTATTGCTGCTAATATATTTTACTATGAAAATGTACTGTTGATATTTTTACTATAATTTCTTTTATAATTTCATAGTCTTTGACTCCAGTATTTTCCCATATTTGGGACCCTGACATTTGCCACCAGCACCATCCAGGGAGAATCTGAGAACAAAAGCAATTAAGAGATAGTTCCACGCTCCTTAAACACTTCCGGTCAGAGGCTTTACTGCCGGATGTAGTTTATTGTCATACTATGGATGGAATTTCGGAAGACATGCTTTGCTCTTCCAATGCGTCTTCAAATTCTGTGACATATTTACCATCGAATCGCTTTATAACTCAGTTTCCGCTAAAATAAACAAATAGAAAAATGACATTGTCTTTCCAAGAAGCTCGTTTTCCTACTTTATCCTCCAGTGGTTGGTTGGCAACAACTAATTCCAAAGCTATTTTCATTTAACTAGACATTGGGGCATCTAGCATGACAAAGAGTATTGTTCTGCTGAAAGACATTATTTCCAGCAGAATACAGATTCTGAGTAATAGGAAGACATTCATAAAGTCATGACATTTGACAACGGTTCAATTTTATTCAGACATAATCCACTTGGCTGAGTAAGTGCAATCTGCCAAAATAAACTAGATAAAATGGCGCCATGACATATTTGGAACTGCAAATATGTTTGGGTAAAAACCTTTGGATGAAAAATCGCTGGTAATTTTGAAACTTCGTGCCCGCATATTAACAGTGTATCAAAAGGACGATTATTCTCTTGAGACGCTATTACGGTATACACTTTTAAGTCTCTCGGCAATGCTTGTTTTAAATACCAAATTAGATGATATCATATATTGATTCAAATTTTCTTGTTTTATGCTTCATTGGTATTTTTTATAAAATTATCAATAAAACTTTTCATAGTTATTAGTAAAATGTTAAATAGTAAATATTGTATTACAGTTGGTTTACGAGGCAAGGTGGAATAATGCATAGCCGCTTGGATTGAGGAATATATATATATATATATATATATATATATATATATATATATATATATATATATATATATATATATATATATATATATATATGTAAGACGTATGACGTCGTCAATTACAGTTTTAATATTGACATTCAATAAAGCGGAGATAAGGCATTTGCAATTAAAATAGAGGCCAATGGACCTTTTAATTAATCCGTTCGCTTTATATATTTTTAGATTTTCAATGGTTTCTGATTCATATAAACCGCTTTTTGTTCGATCTGTTCATTAAACACAAAATCTTTTATGTGTTTAATATAGCATTGAAATTGAAATATCTCTCGGAAGAAAATATTAGCAACAAAAGGACAAAGACGGCGACGATGACAAAGCCTATTTCAGGACCAAGTATAAGGGCGATCACTTAATAGACAAAGTTATCTGCGTGCCTCACATGAAAAGCTTGAACAGATACGACTGCAATCTAAGTAACGTAGGAGTAAAGGAAATGATTAAACTGTTCATTTTGCTCGGGAAGTAATTTTGTATAAGGGCAGATAAATATTTTATTTGTATAGATTATTAAAATTACTAAGGGAAATAATCAATCATAAATTTACGAGCCTAAGATTATTTACCACCTTTCCACTACAGATTGGACAGTAAATATATATAAATAAATGCACATTGATAATTAGTATATAGTTTGTGATTGATCTAAGTAAATATTTATTAAGTGTCTAACAACATATTATTATTAAAGCCAGAACAAGTAAAAGATTTGAACTCATTTACTTCTATGTCCATGAAACATTGTGGATTAACAGCGAAAATGCTTTTTTCAAGATAGATGGCGATAGAATAGAACAGGGATATAAGTAAATCCATACCTATTGCAAATGGATGAGTGAATGTTAGCAACCTTCGTTGAAATTTGATTTTGGTCCGGAGATTATATTTTACTGAAGGTAAACACCATTTAGATCCGTTGGAAATGCCAATATTTTGCGGATCATACCAATCCGTGGCGTTCCTACTACAAACACAAACCACGCGTCTGAAGACTTGTTTGCAAGGTCACACCATGATGATTATAATTTCAAAATTTTTGAACATCCATTTTTTTAAAAATAATGTTTACCTGGTACGAATCTGAAGAGTCATTCAATGTAGAGCGTTACAGAAGAATGGTCAGTGAGACAGGAGTGAAAGGAAAGGTGGAGGACAAGGAGACTGGATAACCTTTGACATCAAGAGGTCAAGATAAAAGTCTTTAGGAATCATCCAGTTCTTGGTGCGGCAGGTTTCTAAATTCAATATTTGGACTATGGTAGAAATAATTTTGACTCGTTTCCGTGGAACTAACATATGTCCTAGTAGTAAATGTTAGAATTGGTGGAAATAGCAATGGTGCTCATCTAAAACCTTTCCGTGGAAATAGCGCTAGCGATGAGGAAAATAGTGACGAAATATTTATAATGAAAAATAAAATACAGAAGAAAAGTTTTATCAAGTAATTATATTTTTCTTTTATATATATATATATATATATATATAAATTTAAAAGAAAAACAGACCACTTTAAGGTACCATTATAATAATTTATTTCACCAGAGTCCTTTTAAAGGACGCCGGATCATCAGATAGCACTTCCAAATATGAAATGAAACGAAAAATGAAATTAAAATTGATGGGTAGTGTAAGTTTTTATAATTTAACAGAGAGTGTAAAAGGGGTAGTTAAAGAGACATGGTAGATTATAGGGAGGGATTAATTTCATATCTCTCTCAAGCATACTTTGTATTGGGGGAGGAGGAGTGACCAGACTTTGACCTATTTAGATAGTTAATTTAACGGAAGTGATATATTGAAATGGGAGGGGAGAAGGGAGAAGAAAAAGGAAAAAGAAAGAAGATGGAGAGAGAAGTAAAGAGAAAGAGGCTGTAATTGGGTTTTAGCAATTTATGTAAAGAATAGATTTTAATGCTTGATAGTAATTTAGACGTCTAAAAAACCCGAATAAATTAATTTGACGTTTGCTATCAATTTAAATATTTAATTTTTTTAAAACAAATACTTTAGGGATTTAATATAAGTTAAATACTATATTTATTAACACATTTATAGACAACATATTAAAAAAATATATTTTAAATTATAACAGTTTGTTTACTTGTTTACCCGACCGATCGTACTTTTTAATATTGTAAATATATATATATATATATATATATATATATATATATTAATTCTGTTGAGAACTTTATTTTAAATTTGTAACGACTTACCTGAGAGAAGCGCAGCGACGCCAGCGACAAGCACAGAAATGACGACAGAGGGTCCTGCCTGGTGATGGGCCACGTGCGTAATAATGACATAGATGCCAATGCCCAGAGTACTTCCGACTCCTGGAAAAAATATATATATTAACAATTAACAAAGTGATATACTGCAAGGAACTTTTCTGTAAAATCTTTGCCAAAACTACTTTCATAACATATTACAAATAGCGGTCCTTTTATATGCTAGTGAATGTTGGACAATTTCCTCACTCATGAAGAAGATGCTTGAAACATCAGAAATGTACTTCTACAGACGGTTGATGGAGGTAACATGGACTCAACATGTGAGCAACAACGAAGTTTTAAAGACATTGGAAACAAAACACACACATACGTAAAATCAGGAAATGACTGTTGAAATTTCTAGGGTACGTAATAATGTAGGTCATATAGAAGACGTTGAGAGAAAAATCACGCACAACCTACCTATCGAGTTTTTCTAAATGGTTGTCACAACAGGAAAGATAGCAAAAAGGGGAAAATTTACTAAGAGCTACAAAGTAATGGGAATTTTGCTAAAAGGTGTTGGAATTGTGGGAAGCCATGATCACTCACGTCCTGAAGGTACACGCCACGTACAAAGGTGGATCAAATGTAGCCATATCTCCCAGTCCTCAATTTAAAATGACGCTATTTCCGTTTATAGAGACAATTGAACTTGATGTTCCTATTTTCTTGATCTGAGAAGACATGAAAACATGGACAATTTTGAACATATTTTAATGAAATATTCACTTTCCAAAAATTATTAAAATGATTGCTTAGACATGGAGCGAAAAATAACGACGTTTAATACAGTACTAGAAGTTTATGGTATAATATCAACCGATGGCATTTGTGGTAAGAATGACAGCTACTTTCTCGTAACTGCAAATGCCACAGTCAACCAAGAAGCTATGCCATCCTTGTGGAATTCAAGATATTGTGCTGAATGTTGCAGTGATGTGCAAGAAATATTTCATTGAAAAACGTTGTTAGAACTAGAAGACGACGTTGGAGATTTTTCTAAACGACAAAGCTTATTGGGTACTCACGTTCAACGTTCTTGAGTGTCGATAAGAAGTAAAAACATCACAAACTAAACAGAAAATTGGACGAACGAGATTGATCGATACGAGGAGAGAAAGGTATCTTTATCGCTTCATACGATCCAATAGAATGGTTACTGTGACAGAAATTGCAGATAGCTTTATTCAGAGTGAAGCAAGAAAGTTGTTAGCACATACGATACATTGATTTTATGCATGGCGCTAAATCTTGTATTAATGAGTGATAGTTGCCTGGTACAATTAATTATCTTTTCGCCTGCAAATGTGGGACGGCAAGGTATGTGTTCGTCATTTTCGTTGTGTATCGATGGCACGATGAGGCACTCTCGGCAAAAGGCAACTGTATGAAGTGTAATGGGTTCATTAACATTCTGCCGAGATATGCTGGGTTCTATGTAAGCAATCACTCTTACGTCATATCTTTCCGCAACATCATTGACGACGGGATACACTGTGATCTACGGTGACCATGACATTTTTCAAGTGGATGACTGCTTCTTAATACACGTTAAGTTGTACAGAAATGATGTCAGGAACATGAAGAAGAGATCGTTGTATTGCACTGGCCACCAAACTCTTCAGATTTCAATCCCATTGAGCCCCTATAGGAGGTCTTGTACCAACATGCTCATTCTTTATAAGTACAATGAAATAACGGCACGTCTTTTATTATGCAACCATCGCTCTCATATAGAGATTTTGTTATATTAATACCTTTTCTGTTAAGAGCACACAAAGAACCAATTCTATGTAAGATAGGTAATTGTCATATTTTAGCTCATCAGTGTATGATATATATATATATATATATATATATATATATATATATATATATATATATATATATATATATAATATAAAAGGCTCAAACATTAATATAATATATAATGGAATATTAGAGTTTGAACCTTTTATATAATGGACTATTAGTGTTTGAGCCTTTTATATTATATTCTTACTCTGTCCTGGACATTGAGTTCTACCTGGATTTTATCCTCTTGGGATATATATATATATATATATATATATATATGACGTCACACAATATGAAATGGACAAAGTCCGATAATTATTTTAAGACATTTTTATGTTTATACATTCTTTTTACAGATCTATAAAAAGAATGTATAAACATAAAAAAATAATATATATATATATATATATATATATATATATATATATATATATATCGATAATATTTTCACAACAAATATGAATTTTCTACATAATTTAATTCTTAATGCACTTAGGACAACATTTCTCCAAATATTGCATAGACTGAATATTATGCAATGAAAGTTTTTGATCAAAATTCAGTTAATAGGCGTATTAGGCTATTTATGGATTTTAAGTTTTTCTTCAGCCATTGTGCAGTGTCGTGTTTTTATGTTTAACTTTTTATATTGACAAAATCTGTATCCTGGATATTAAAAGGCCAATAAAAAAAATAGGGTTCAGGAAGACGGCAATTGGCATTGCATTTAAATGTTTAAGTTTAATGGGACAAGGATTCAGGAAACCGGAAAAGAGTTCCTCTGGCGGCTTTCCCTCATAAACACATTTTTCTCTCTCTCTCATTTTCTCTCTCTCTCTCTCTCTCATCGGATTTCGGATGAATTTTGAGTCATCTTCACCTGTAATATAGATTATTTCCTTAACTTTCACTACTTTATTCCTTCAAATTTAAATAAATAATATTAAATAATTTCATTCTTTGTTTCAATTAAATAATTCAAATTCTACTTTTATCTTTTTACATAATTTAGAGAGTAACAGTATTTTTGAGGATTTGTTTTTATAAGCGTGGCATGTTAGAAACTAAATATTGTGTTGCTTAACGATTTATTTTCTAAATATATAAGCAGGTATAAGATTCAAAATCAATGTTGCCCGAACTTATCTATAGGTTGCGATGAGGAAATTGTCGCCTTTTTATATTTTTAATATCGCGCATGCGCGTTTGTTTGCTTTTGTTGACTGCACGGTATAGAAGGATCAGTCGTGCACCATGACGCAACTCATTCCAGCAGAAATTTTGAAACGGTATGCTGCACTGTTTGGCATTCGCACCGGGAGCTCCAATACGATAATTTCGGAGTGTTTGAGTGTGAAGCTGCGGAGATCACAAAAGATTCGGAAAGAGTTGGATGAGTGTAATGGTAATTACGAAGGTGTTTGGAGTGAACCATAGTGATTGCTACATTATACTTCCATTCATCTTCCCACAGAAACTCTAAATCTAACACGGAGGCTTACATCAAGTACTTTGAGAAGGTAGTGCTGCCCTGAATCAAGAGGGTGTCTACTGGAAGAAACTGTCTGGAAATAAGTATCTTCACGATGCCACACAAGCAGGAGAACACATTCATGGCTGTCAGACAATTTCTGCTATCAGAGCACCCCTTTTATCTGGCCATCTAACTCCCCAGACTGCAACACCCTTGATTATTATGTGTGGCACGCAGTTTAGCGAGAAACCAACAAAACTCTTTGAAACACTAAAGATGAACCGAAGACAAGGATTATGCCAGCATTCACCAACTTAAACAAGGAGAAAGTTCAAAAGAGTTGCCGGAGATTCTGATGCCGTCTGGAGGTTGTGGATTAAGCCAATTTTCGTTTTTATTGAACAAATTTACACTTTACTATTTCAAGATATTTTTGTGTAATTTTGGTAAATATATCTGTTAAAATGAGATACCAGTGCTATTTCATTTTTGCATAATTTAGACTACAATTTATCCATCGTACCGTGTACACGCGACAATGTTAGGATTTGTCTCAACGCATAGCAATCCCTCACTCTCACTCTTTTTCTCTCTCTCTCTTTCTAACACATACACACACAAACACACGCGCGCGCACACATACACACGCACGCGCACAAACACGCACATACAAACACACCCACAGACACACACGCACACACATATATATGTAAATAATATTATTTGATAAACAGGATATAAATCCAATGGTAACTTAATGTAAGATCAGATTAAAAATAATATTATAGTAATTATATATATATATATATATATATATATATATATATATATATATATATATATATATATATATCTCTCCTACATCCAAGAGGAGAGAAGCACACGATAATGTACGTTTCATGTTGGGATAAAAACCCGGATCACAAACTCGAATACGGGAGTGAAATATCCAATAGTTTCACATATGAAAGAATCAGTCAATTTATAATATACGACAATTATATATTTAATTATTATCATCCTTTATCTCTTCTGTTTTCTTTTATATAATCGAATACCCAATCGGGTAGTTGCAGGTTTCGTATTTAATTTTCCTTTTCTGGTAGAAATAATATCGATGATTTACTCAACACTTCCCCGACATGTATCATAATAAAATTATGATTAGTGACTACTCCATCAATAAATGACTTAATTATAATAAAATCATTGCTTACATTAGAAAAGAAACGCGTTTTTATGCTTCTGTTAAATGCTCAAAGAGAATATTTCATGAATACTTGGCGTCTTCAGTTTAAGCAGTTTCAAAAGAGATTCAGTTATTACTTTGAATGTGACATAAAAAAGTCACTGTTCAAGGTATTTGATGGTATTTGCTAATCATAGACTCGAGGAAAGGTCTCTGCTTTGATTCCGAGCGATTATATCCCTTGTCTGTCGTTGGATACTGAAGAATCAATATTATCGCTAGGCAACAAATCACTTAGACTTTTTCCTCCCAATGTTCCATTCTGGTATTCCAGCTAGAAAATTAAACTGGGTTATTTACTTTTATATCTCCAGAAAATAAGGAATATAATTCAAGCCGCTTTTTTTTGTGATTTTTAATCAAGTATTTATTATTGAATGGAAACATTCTCGCGTGGACAAAAAGCATATCCTTTTTATTTTTTTTCGGCAGAACGAACCAGGGATGATTCTTTGTATCCTTTAAAAAAATCAACAATAAAAAACACTGAATAACTGTTTGGAATATTTA